TTCACCTTCGAGATCTGCTGGGCGCTTCTTGGGGCAGCTCGAGGGCATCTCTTAAGAGGCTTCTCTCGGGGCTCTCTGGCCCCTCCAGCTCGGTCTCGGAAGCCTCTTGGGTCGTCTCGGAGCCCTCCCGGGCGGTCTCGGCGCCCGAGAGCGCGAGCCTGGGGGCGTCGGGGATCGGCGGGGCGCGTCAGCGCGGCGCGCGCGGCTGCCCCGCCGCGCGCCTAGCCCTCGCTCAAGGCGCCCCCCGCCTAGTCCCGCGCCGCCCGTCGGGCAAGCCGAGTCTCGCCAAGCGGGCGCCCGCCGCCTCTGCGGCCCAGCGCTGGCGCGCCAGCTCGCCGAGCTGGCCCAGCGTGCCCGCGCAGTCCAACGCCCCCCGTCGCGCAGGCGCGCGCGCGGCAGCCCTGGCAGGCAAACGCCGCCACCTGTGGCGCGAAAAGGCGCCGCGCTCGACGACTGGGCCCTACGCCAGCAAGCGTCGAGCCGCGCCTCGCATTAATGAGGCGCCCCCACGTCTCCCGACCCACCGCCGGACCACCCGGACCACCCCCTAGATCATCCAACCAGACCAACCAGACAACCCGGACCAAACGGACCGACCAAACCAGACGGACCGGTTGGACCACTCGGACCAAACGGACCAACCGGGCCACCCGTTCAACCGGACTACCTGGGCCGCCAGGCCCCCCCTGCACGTACATGGACCACTTTTATAAAGTCGTCGCCCCACCCGCCCGCCCGGCCCGACCCGAACGACCACCTGGACCAACTGGGCCAACCAGACAACCCGGACCAACGAGACCGACCAGCACGACAAACCGAAACACCCGGACCGACCAACCGGACAAACTAGACCACCCGGACCAACCAGACCAACTCGACCATTTGGACCTACCGGACCGACCAGACCGACCGGACCAACCGGACCAACCGGACCAACGGGACCAACCAGACCAACCGGACCACCCGGACCAACGGGACCAACCAGACCAACCGGACTGGACCAACCCGATCACCTGGACCTCGGACGTGGGGGCGACTACACTCGCGCCCCGGGCGCGGCGTCTTTTCGCCGCCCCTCTTTACCCGCGCGCCACGTTCAGCGTCGGCGACTCGCTCTCCACGTCCAACGCAGCGGCCACGCAGCGGGCGTTCCGCGCCGCGAGCGGGGGCCCACCCAGGGCGCCGGCGCAGCCGTCGCGCGCGGCGGGCGCCACCCAGGTGGCAGGCCAGCGGTCGGCGTCCGGCGCCCACGGGATCTCGCGCACGTCGCTGACGTCCGCCACCAAGTAGTGCACGCCCCACCGCGCCGCAGGTGGGGCGCTCGGCGGCGTCGTCGCAACAACGGCAGCAGCAGCAGCAGCAGCAGCAGCGACCGCACTCGGCGCGGACGCGACCGCCCCGGGCGGAGCGGCAGCGAGCGCCGTCGGCGCCGGGCGGCCAGCGGCGCGCAGGACCTCCGGAACTGGGTCCCTGAAGAAAAAATCCCCACGCACAAGCCGAGCCCAGCCGCGAGCCGAGGAGGGCCTTTCGGCGACCTGTCAGGCCGGACGAGACCACCGGTCGTTGGTCCGGCGGTTTGCCGGCCAGGCCGCCCTGCGGCAGGCGTCGCACTGCCTGCGGAAGCACGGAGACGCGACGCCGCGCCGCGCCCGGCTCGGGGCCACGCAAGGAAGACGGCTGTTTCACCCGCTGGCACGGCGCACCCTTGGGCGAGCCCTTTCTCTGCGTGGAAAAGAGACGGGTAGGATTGCACCGAGCAAAACAAGTCCGGGTTTAACAGCCCAAATGAGATAGCACATTGCGAGTGAATCAGCCTCGGGTGAAACAGTTGGCTGTCCTTCGTGGCCCCAAACGCAGCACTGGAAAGGCGTTGCGTTTCAAACCCATGGCCTCCAGTGCGCCTGGCCGTTTGTGTGCCGCGTCCATTTGAGGATCTCCTCCGCGGCCCAGCGCTGCCGCAGTTCCAAGCTGCGAAGCTCCGTGCACGCGCGGTTGGAGCAGCCCGGACACAGGGGGGGGCCCATGACGGGGCGCCTCGATCCGAAACGTATCGTGCGCGGAAGGGGTGGTGGTGAGAATGATACTGATGATGTTTGTCGCCGTGTTCTTGCAATGTATAAATGTGTAATCGATTGGACTGCAATCGATTGGACTGCAAGCGATTTTGCCATCGATTGGACTGCAACCGATTCCACTGGGCTTGCACGCGATTGGCTAGCAATCGATTGGATTGCAACCGCTGGGGGGGGGGGGGGGGGCACACAGGGCGGCGACGACGAGGCGGCGACGGGGCGGTGACGGCGGGCAAGGAACCGCCAGACCGACCCTCAGGCCCAGACGACGGGCGGCGACGAGGCGGCGACGCCAAGGACGGAAAAGCCAGACCGCCCCTCAAGCCCAAACGACGGGCGGCGACAGGGCGGCAACGGCGAGGAGGGAGCCGCCAGCCGCCCCTTAGACCCAGCTACTAGGATAGAAAGCTCCCCCTAAGTGCAAGCACTGGTTGGGGAATGTCATGACGCTCATCATCCCCATCAACATCACGATCGACAGGAGCACTTGCATCTCGTCCAACTTTCCCTTTCCCCTGCATATTGCTGACGCTGCTTCCCCTCAGCGGTTCCTGCCCTTCCTGGCATCGTCGACTGGGCCCTTAAAGGCTCTGTTGGGTCCAAACCATCCCCCCTCATCATCCTCATCCATCCTCCTCGTCCTCCATATCCTCCTCTTTCTCGCTCCTCCTGTCCTCCGCACGCCGCCTCGCCATCACACCCCATGGCTCCTCGCCCTCCCCACTCACTCCTCCCCCCCGCCCTTTTCTTCCTCCCCCTCCTCCTCGCACCGCATCGCCGCTGCTCCTCCTCCTCCTCCTCCTCCTCCTCCTCCTCCTCCTCCTCCTCCTCCTCCCCCTCCTGCTCCTCCTCCTCCTCCTCCTCCTCCTCCTCCTCCTCCCCCTCCTCCTCCTCCCCCCCCTCCTCCTCCTCCTCCTGCGCTCGTACCACGGCGAGCACGGTCTTATCCACTGCTACTACTGCTGCTACTGCTGGAACTACTGCCACTGCTGCCCCCACTCCTGCACGGGCGGGGCGGCCTTGCAGAAGCCGCAGGGCGGCTGGCACACGGTGTAGCCGCATGCGGGCGCGATGCGGGGACAGCACGATTAAGAGATGAATGGAGCTGGGGAAGGAGGGCGAGGGCGGCATCCCAAGAGAGAGGGTGGGGTTCGACATGGGCGAGAGTAAAAAAGTAAAAAGCCGAGACAATTATCTTCAAGGATTCAGCTGTGGGGTGACGGAGGCCTGATCGGTGAATGGGGCACTCTGGAAACGGGTGGCCGTGAAACTCCCGCAATAACCCCCAAAACCGAGGACAGACAAGGTAGTGGCCCTGGGAGTCTAAACCAGCTGCGCACCCGAACATACATCTCTGACACTGCTGGAACCGCGATTGAGTAGTCCAGGCTCCAGCGAGTGTTTTCAGCACAGCTCGCCTCCAAGCAGGAGGAAGAGACAATACTACAGTCTTGACCTGCGGCCAACAGATCGCGCCCAACTGCCTTGTCGGAACATTGGGGAGGAGGTGGGCGAGACGGGCTCGGAACGCCGGAGCGAGCGAGGGGGGGAAGAGGGAAGACTTGAGGCTCTCGGCAGCGGCACGCTGGATCTTCTTGCCCTCACGCTGGGCCTCCAGTGCACAATGTAAAGCACGGCGGCCAGCCTTCGCAAAATGCGGATCGGTGCTGAAACCTGTCGACGCTGCATGCAAGGTGTCGCAGATCGGGGGATCTGTCCAGAATTCTGGGCAGCGGCGGCCTCTACTTACATCTTCAAGGGAAAGCTCTGACCCCGCCTCCGAGAGACGAGCAACGCAAGACCGCCAAACAGAGAACGTGCTAATTGACGCTCGAATGAGCGTCGCCAGGTCGAGCACAAGAGCACTTCTGAGGCGAGGGCCGCCCCAGCTTTCGAGAGAGAAGAACGCCTGACGAGACAGCGAGCAGTGCGGCATCTTTAAAATGGAAGCGAAAATAGCATGCTCTTTCGGAAGCACTGTCTTGGGAATCCGACAGAACTGAGCGATGTACCCCAAACAGGAGAGAGCACGCGAGTCGTATAATGTGGTGGCGATAGCTGCGGGCGCTCCTGGCTGGGCTATGCTGAACGAGAGTTTCGCCCACTTGGTCATGGGTGCATCCCAGGATGAAGGGGGCGCAGCAGGACCAAGAAAGACTCCTAAGTAGAGCAGCTTGGGTACTATGCATATATCTGACCACTCGGGCAATTGCTGATTGATCGAACTCTTATAAGTCCAAGCGACTGCCTCCGAGAAGGGTCCGCTTAATGGCACTAGTTTACATTTACTCAGTTTGAGGGTTCGGTTGGCCACCCGCTTCGAAGCCAGAAAAACCGTATATAATTTTCTGAGGGCGGTCAGATCTCGAATCACACTGCCTTTATCGTCCGCGCAGGCCCTCACAAGGCCCAGCTGCTTCTTCTCGAGGAGGGTTTCGAAGTGTTCGACGAAAGGATGAGACGCCACCGCATATAAGGTCCCGCTCGCAGGACACCCTTGGACAATCCCCGACTCGACGAGGTAAAGGAATAGTGTGCACTGCCCGAGCTGGCCGTAGCACGCGACCTGCGTGTAAATAAACTCCAGAAACTCGAAGAGGGGCTGGGGGAAGTTGAGCGATTTCAGGATGAAGAAGATCCAGTGCTGGGAGATGGAGGGGAAGGCCTGGCCGTAGTCGAAAGAGAGAAGAGCAGGGAGCCTGGAAGTGCAATCTGGCATCATCGAAGTGATCCGTGCCTCGGTGTCGAGCTCTATTATGTTGTCCCCGAAATTCCGCTTGGGCACGAAGCCCCTCTGGGCCTGATGTATGAATCCTGGGAGAGCCCGCGTCAGAGGCTGTATGACCACCGAGGTTAAGATCTTGCAGTCAGTGCTCTTTAGTCCCAGGGGCGGGTTCCACTGGCATCTCGGATCACTTTGTCGTTATCCTCGGGCTCAGAGCCCTCGACCAAGAAAGCGCCAAGCATCTGGTTGAAACCGAAGAGGGGAGGGTTGCCAGCCAGGTCCCAGCCCAACGTACTGCACAAAACCTTCGGGCCCTCGGGGTGACATTTCCAGGCCCAGTAAGGCAGGCCATCTGGTCCAGGCGCGCTCGGCGAAACTCTGTCCAGGAAACGAACAATACTAGCTTCCGAAGGTGGCGGCAGCCCTGAAAGATCGATGCTTGGCTTGAATCTCTGGGCGCACTGGAAGGCGGCAGGCTTGTCGATCTTCGACTTCGCAAAAACTGAACCCCAATGCTGAGCCAGACCTGACAAAATCTCGTTCGGCTTCGAGGCGACCGTGTCCTGGGCCGTCCTGAGGCCCTGCAGCGGGAGCTTTCTATCGAAAGGAGACCAAAGACGAGCCCGAATCTGAAGGCTTTTGGTGCGCTTGGCCAATTTGGCCCTCTCGAGGGTCGGAGGATCACCTTGAAGTCGCTGTCTGGCATCTGCTTGTGCCGAGTGGAGCATTGCCAAGTTGGCCTCGTTCGCCTCAGCGTGAAACCTGATCGGGTCAGCGATGCTCACGCTCTGCTGCATAACATCTAGGCTGAGAAACTTGCGGCCGAAGGGGTGCGACAATACAATGCGCCTGGCCAGCACCATGTCCTGGTTCCAAACTGCTCTGGCGATAGTGCGGCACGCTACATAACGAGAGAGAGGATCGTGAGGTTTACCAGTGAGAAGTCGATTACGAGCGTGGCGAGCAGCTTCGAACATAAGATCTTTGTGAAAGAGGAGTGGGAGAGGTGGAGAGAGAACACTATCGTCTATCTGTGCCAGCACGGACTCAATAAATTGCTGGTACTCGCGCCGCTTGAAGATATCTCGATGGATTCGTCGATCCTTAGGCGGCGTCTGAGAGCGAGGTGCGAGGATCACGCTGATCGCAGCATGGTCGGACAGCTTTGTCTTAGCAAGCACCTCGGGGTACCAGTGGACGCGAGCACCCGTGCACATCTGGGTGATGCACCATCCTGGCGCTGACACGAATAACCTATCCTGTTTCCCGAGAGTCCCCCGCGCGGCGCAGAAATGAGTCGGGTCTCCAGGGTCGATTTCGACGAGCTTCTTGAGAGTGGCCTTCCAGGGGCCTCCAGAGCGGATGGGCTGGGACGAGTGCTTATCGGGGTCATGGGAGGGGATATTCTCTGGGTCTTGAGAGAGGGCAATACCAAGCTTGGAGAGGGAGAGGTCATCTAGCGCCTTCGGGGGCTCGTCCGAGAAATTGAAGTCGCCACCTACGAGGATGAAGCCGTTCAGGGGGTCCTCCGAGGCCTTGCTGTAGTCCATGTTGATAGTCTCTAAGATGTAGTTGCTCTGAGCCGACGTCAATCCGTGATTATGAATGTTGAAATGCGATATCCAAACACCATTTGGGAACAAAACTCGAACATTCACCGCACGGCCCCTGACAAGCTCAATCGGAGTGACTACTGGGCGCATCGCAGCACCGTGAGTCTTGTTGAAATATGGCAAGATGGTAATCACCCCGCCAGCTGGATGAGCAGAGACAGGAAAAAGAGAAAAGAACGCCTGGAACGGGCGATGCATGTGGAACAGCATATCCTTGATTTCAGCCTCTGACCCGCGAGACTCCTGAATCCCCAAGATGGTACCAGGTCCCAGGAGAGACTTAGCGTAGCGGATTTTGCGGTCCTTGATCTTCTGCTTATGGTGGAACAGAGCCTGGGCATTCCAGGAGCAGAACGAGAGAGGGGAGGCCGAGGAAGAGGAACTGCTCCATGCCGAAAAGAGCGGGTTAAACCCGCCACGAGACAGGCCCAGGCGGTCGCACAACCTGCGCCACCTCGGCCTCGATGTCTGTGCGACTGAGGTTGAAGTGCTGCAAATTGACATCGGCGTACTCGATCGTCGGCACCTCGTTGCCCTGAGCAGGAACGCCGCGGAGCAGGGGCTTCCATTGCAGGCTGACCTCGCCCTTCGCCTTGTCAATGTGGAAGTGATGCTGCGGATATAGTTCTGAAAGCACGCGCTTGAGCTGCTTTGCGACGATCTCGCGCTTGACTTGAGCCTGCGACTTGTCAACCGATACGAAGACCTCAGAAGGAGTGTTCTGGGAGTCCATCGCGCTGAATCGTCGCCACTCCTGCGCACTAATCTTGAAGCTGCCGATAATTTGTCCCACTCGACGGGCTGCGTACGCTGGAGATCCCTTGATGCGGAGCACAAATCTCTTTCCAGCGGGGTCTCCTTCAAATTGCACCTCGCTGTGAGGAATATTGTTCTTTTCAATGATAGGTTTGACCACGGACACTGCGACTGACTCCTTGGTCGAGTAACTCTTGCACCTGATGACGAGAATCGCGGGGTCTGGCTGGCGATCGAATTCGTTCGAGGAGGGGTCCACCACCGCCTGTGGTACCTCCTTCTGCATGATCCCCAGAATCTCTTCCAGGCGGGTAATCCTTGCCGACATACGTGCCATCTCGTCTTCCTGCTCACGTTGTGTGCGTTCGAGTCCTGACATACGTGCTTCCACTTGTCTGCTGAGGCCACCGACGGAGTCGTTGACCAGCTTGCCAAGGGAGCCGACGTTTGTGGAAATAGCTGAGATGGCCTGAAGAAGCTCCTTCTTTGTGTCGTCCACATACTGCTTGAGGTCATCTGACTCCATGGCATCCTCGAAGAACTGTGAGCGGCTTCTGTCGTCGTCACGGGGGCCCCCACGACCACGCTGAGGAGTGCCAGAATCACCAGTACCTGGACGAACACGGCCACCACGTCCCTGAGTTTGAGCAGCAGCTGCGGCACCTGCGACCCCTTCCTGGGACGGGAACGTCGGCGCTGCCTCGAGCAGAGCGAGAAGTCCACTATTGTTTGCACCAGCCATCGTTCGCTCTGGCTACGCAGGTAGCCGAAGGCGCCCAAAACGACGGAGGGGCTGTGGGTGGAGAACGCCGTGGCCTGCGGCGGCCTTGAGCCAAAATGGCTTGAGCCAAAATGGCTACGGACCTCCTCCTCCTCCTCCTCCTCCTCCTCCTCCTCCTCCTCCTCCTCCTCCTCCTCCTCCTCCTCCTCCTCCTCCTCCTCCTCCTCCTCCTCCTCCTCCTCCCTCCTCCTCCTCCTCCTCCTCCTCCTCCTCCTCCTCCTCCTCCTCCTCCTCCTCCTCCTCCTCCTCCTCCTCCTCCTCGCGCCCCTCCTCCTTCCCCTCATCCCTCACTCCTCCCCCGTACGGGGCGTCGCGCATCAGCGTGCTCCGTCCTCCGTCCGCCTCTTCTTGCTCGTCCCCCTCCCAGCGCCGGCGCGCGCGCCATGCGCGCGCGTCACGCGTGCGGGAGCGGGCGCAGGCGCTGGCGCGGGTGCCTCACCGCGGTGCCAGGGCCAGTGCCACTGCTGGTGCATGCTGCAGGTGCCATTGCTGGTGCTGGTGCCGGTGCCGGTGCTGGTGCCAGCTCCGGCGCTGGCGCCGGTGCCGGTGCTGGTCCCGGTGCTGGCGCCGGTGCTGGTGCCATGCCGGTGCGGGTGCGGGTGCGGTTGCGTCGGGGAGACGTAAGACCCGGGTACGGGGGACTCGGAAATCCCCGACGAGGTCGTCAAAAAAATGACGAGGCCGAGCCTGCATTTTGACGAGGCCTCCCGCTGCAGACATCCCACGAAACTCCTCCTCGTCAAAATCCGAGTCGCGGTCGTCAAAAAACGATGGCGAACCCGAGTCCCGGCAAACCCGGGTCTTACGCTCCCCCGATTGCGGGTGCCGGTGCCAATGCTGGCGCCGGTGCCGGTGCCGGTGCCGGTGCCGGTGCCGGTGCCGGTGCCCGTGCGGGTGCGGGTGCGGGTGCGGGTGCCGGTGCCAGTGCTGGCGCCGGTGCCGGTGCCGGTGCCGGTGCCAGCCGGTGCCGGCGCCCGTGCCGGTGCCGGTGCTGGTGCTGGTGACAATGCCGGTGCGGGTGCCAGTGCCAGTGCCAGTGCCGGTGCCAGTGCCGGTGCCGGTGGGCGAGAATCGCTCTATAGTGCAGCATCCTCGTCATCACCACCATCATCCAGCCCTCTGCCCTCGCCTCCTCCACCTCCGCCTCTTCCTGGTACCCTTGCTCCCATCATCCGCCCTCCCATCCCACATCTTGGAGGCCATCTTGAGCGTCTTGGAGGCCATCTTGACCTTTTCGGGCCTTCTTGGAGGACGTCTTGGAGGGCTTTTGGGCCATCTTGGAGGCCATCTTCAGCGTCTTGGGTGCCTCTTGGGCCGTCTTGGGGGCCTCCTGGGGCTGTGTCCTGGGCCTCTTTCTTGGGCAATCTTTGGGTGCACTTGGGCCTTCCCTCAGGAGGGGAAAAAACACACAGACACAATTAATCGTCGACCCCCAGGAAAATATGGGAAAATATGGGAAGTGGTGGGGAAGACAGAAACCCAGAAAATGTGGGAAAGTACGGGGAATCTTTTTATTTGTGTGCACTTATTTGTGTGTCCTGGGGCCCCTTCATTCCCCCCCTCCACCATCCCGCCATCCTTCAACCATTGGCCTTCCCCCCCTCCGCCATCCCGTCATCCTTCAACAATTGGCGGCACGTCGCCGCTGGCTTCGATGGGCGGCCCACTTCCCGAGCCCGCCGGCTCCGGCTCCCTTCGGGCTCCTGGGCTGCGGGGCCCCGTCCTCCACCGAAACGCGTCGATCCTGGCTGCGGCGACGAGGGCTCTGCCCGGAGGCCCGGATGAGTAATTACCGGGCGACGTACCCAACCGTTCCAAAACCGATGGCGTACATTATATATATATATATATATACCATCGCGCGCTTCGCGCTCGCTCAAGCTCTAGCTAGGCTTGATGGGCTCACTCATGGAAACTCATGTTTCTCGCTGTCTGCATCCAGGCACTCTCTTGGAGGCCCTGCGCAAGCCTCGGAACCGTATAGGAAGGGAACTGCGGCAACGCGGAAATCAGTAATTCCCATTCGGTGTTCAACGATTTCGGACCCTCATAGGCTTCCTGGCTTCTTTTCTGGGAGCTGAGGGGGGCCTTAATTGCGGTCGGTTGTGCAAGAGTAGATAGGGGGGCGAACTTCAAAAAAAAAGAATTGTGGGATTTCCTGTTTTCTTCAAGTTGCCGTGCCTGGGCGGTGGGTTAGAAGTTTTCTGGATGCAGGCCACTGTCTGCTAAGATGCCTCTCGGGATCTCCGTGCAAATGTAAGCAGGGGTTGACTTGGAGAAAAAAAACATGCTTCAACTCATGGGATCATGGGATCTCCAGTTCTACGGTGGTTTCAGGGGCAGCCAAAAGGACGCGAAGACGATTCAAGGGAGAAAGGAAGAGGGAGAATGAGGAGGCGGAGGAGGGGCATCCGAGGCTCACAATTTCATCCCTTTCAGGTCACGAGCGGGTGGCAGGGCCATAGGATTCTCAAACTGTCAAGTTTCCAAGGTCACGAACGTGTGGCAGGGCGACGGGGTTCTCAACAAGTCAGCCCGCCCAGGGTACGAACGTGTGGCAGGGCCGAGAAAGTCTCACCAGGTCAACCTTCCCAGGTCGGCCTCAAGAACCCAAAGGGTCCCTCAAGAACATTGAGGAATCCAAGATGGCCCCAAGATGCCTCCAAGACGGCCCAAGATGGCCTCAATATGGTCCAAGACGGCCCAAAAGGCCCGCAAGAGTCCTCCAAGACGGCCCAAGAGCCCTCCAAGACGTCCTCCATGAAGGCCCGAAGAGGCCAGAATCATTGATTGTCCTTAGGATTTTGAAAGAATTTTGGCATTTGCGCCTTTTCGGCTCTCCGACGGCCCAAGACGGCTCAAGACGGCCCAAGAGGCCCCCAAGATCGCCCAAGAGGCCCCTAAGAGGGCCCCATGACGGCCCAAGTGGCCTCCAAGACGGCCCCAAGAGGGCCCCAAGACGGCCCAAGAGGCCTCCAACACGCCCAAGATGGCCTCCAAGACGCCCAAGATGGCCTCCAAGACGGCCCCGAAGCGCCCCAAGAGGTCCCCAAGTCGGCCCAGAAGGGCCCCCAAGACGGCTCCCGACGACGTCAGACGTGCCAGGAGCCCACCAAGACGGACGAAGTTGGCTCGAAGCTGGCCCAAGACGACCCAAGAGGCCCCCAAGAGGTCCTCCAGGAAGGCCAGAAGAGGTCAAAATCATTGATGTTCCTATGGTTTTTGATGGATTTTGACATTTGCTTCTTTTCGGCCTTCCGACGGCACGAGACGGCCCAAGTGCCCCCAAAGATCGCCGAAAGATCGCCCAAGAGGCCTCCAAGATGGCCCCAGAACAGCCCAAGAGGGCCCCAAGACGGCCCCAAGAGGCCCCCAAGACGGCACAGGAGGCCTTTAAGACGCCCAAGATGGCCTCCAAGACGGCCCTGGAGCATTCCAAGAGGGCCCCAAGTCGGCCCATAGAGGCCCCCCAAACGGCTTCCGACGGCGTCAGACGGACCAGGAGCCCACCAAGACGGCCGAACATGGCCCTAAGATGGCCCAAGACGGCCCAAGAGGCCTCCAAAAGGGCCTCCAGGAAGGCCCGAAAAGGCAAAAATTGCCTACCTAGGCTTTGCCTAGAAAGGTTCTTACCGTGTTGGCTTAAAGGGCCAGGCAGTGTTCCACGCCCCGGGCGGTTCCCCCAGGATCCGCCCCGCGGTTCCCCCAGTTGCGTCCCCTTAGCTTCGCGTTGCTTATCTCATCTTAGCTTAGCTTATTTCAGCTGAGTTCAGCGTAGCTTCATCTTAGCTCAGGTTTATCTTAGCTTAGCGTACCTTCATCTTAGCTTCGCCGAGCTTTAGCATAACAGAACACAGCATAGCATAGCAGAGCGTAGCATAGCATAGCACAGCACAGCATATCACCTAGGCTCTGCCTAAAAGGTTAGCTTAGCTTAGCTTAGCTTAGTTTAGCTTAGTTTAGCTTAGCATAGCGCAGCGCTGCATTAGCATAGCATAGCATAGTATAACATAGCATAGCAGAACATAGCCAAGTATAGCATAGCATAACATAGCATAGCATAGCGCAGCATATCATAACATGTCGTGTCATATCATAGCACAGCATAGCGCAGCTTAGTATATCATAGCATAGCATAGCATAGCATAGCATAGCATAGCTTAGTATAGCACAGCGCAGCATGACATAGCATAGTTTAGAATAGCATAGCATAGCATAGCATAGCATAGCATAGCGCAGCATAGCATAGCATGGCATAGCGCAGCATAGCATGGCATAGCATAGCATAGCATAGCATAGCAACTATTGCTGCTTTCCAAGGGGCTCCAACTTCTAGGTAGGGTCGCACTGGGGTAATGTATGATTTCCTATGGGTGTTTGAAGGATTGTGGCATTTGCTTTTTGTTCGGCCTTCCGACGGCCCGAGACGGCCCAAGTGCCCCCAAAGATCGCCCAAGAGGCCCAAGACACGGCCCCAAGAGGCCCCCCAAGACGGCCCAAGAGGTCTCCAAGACGCTCAAGATGGCCTTCAAGACGGACAAAGAGCCCTCCAAGACGTTCCCCAAGTAGGCCCGAAAGGGTCAAAATGGCCTCCAGACGGCCAAGATGACCTTCAAGATGCCCACGTGTTCCCCGAAGGCTTTCCAAAGCGATTCGGGGAACACATGGTCCGATAGCTTGGCAGGTCTGGTCTCAACGTTCGGCCACATAGGCGCTTCCAAAAAGGCAGGGGGCGGCGGTGATTCGCCGTAGGCGTCTTA